AACTGACGTCTTTAGCTATATCCTGTGAAAATTTGAGAAAAATTGGATGAAACCCGCAGGAGAACAACTCGTTTGAAAATCAGTAATTACCGTAAAATTCTTCGGGAGAAAATTGAATTTGAACATTACATTTTCAATGTTTTTCTTATTGCAGCGAAATGTATTATATGAAATAACTCAGCGAGTTTTCAACATTTTTCGTTCAAACTTGGTCAGGTAGTAGAACTAGTCTAATGCTTTCATGGAAACCAATAAAAAATTTTTAGGCAAAATTAACACTCAAAGGTGTCCTGTAACCTTAACAGCTTTTCCAAACTTGTTACAACAACTGGGAACAAGCAGTGCGAACACAACTTGTTAACAGCTTGTGAACAGATTTGTAACAACTCGTGCGTTTTTACGTGTGTACACGCGTAAAAACTCACAAGTTTCAATAAACCTGTAGCAATGCTGTTCCAACAACTTGTTAACGGCTTGTTAACTACTTGCTACAAGGTTGTTGAGCTCAACAGACTTCCAACAACTTGTTATCGTCTTGCCATTGAACAATTTGTCAACAAGTTGTGAGTGACAACCTTGTAGCAACTTGATAAAACGACAGCATTGTTGCAACTTGTTGACAAGCTTGCTACAAGCCTGTTGCGAACACATCTTGTTGACAAGTTGTGAGATTTTTACGTGCATGTGTACGAGAAAATCTTTGATTATGACACGCTAGCTACATGCATTAGTATTTTTCATTTTTCCAGCGGCGAGCAGTTTAGTGGCGGAATATGGCGGCGAGGATTCCGGGGGGGAGGAGGACAGCAAGGAAGAGAATTACTCAGACTGGACCAAACTGGCGTGTTTGTTGTGCAAACGACAGTTTCCGTCGAAAGAAATTTTAACAAGACACAATCAATTCTCAGAATTACATAAGGTAAACTAACTTTATTTATACTGGATGGCTCTATCTGTTTTGAACTGTTTTTCCTAGAGATCCAGCAAGGATCATCTCTTATTGATCCAGTGTTACTACAGGAGGAAACCTAAACTAAACTAACTGTATTTATACTGGATAGCTCTATCAGTTCTAAACTGTTCTTTCTAGTGGTCAAGTAAGGATCATCTCTTATTGATTCAGTGTTACTACAGGGAGAAACCTAAACTAAACTAACTTTATACTGTATAGCTCTATCAGTTCTAAAGTGTTCT